TACAAGACTTACTTAATAACACAAGGGCCTTACCAACTATATGTAATTACATAATGACCCAACATATATATATATATATATATATATAACATTCTAACGCTCCACCCTCAAGCTAGAGAATATATATCAAATAATCCCATCCCAGCTTGGAACAAATAGTTCTTAACCGGTCATGACCCAATGCTTTGGTAAACATATCAGCTAATTGATCTTCAGACTTCACGAATGGAGTAGAGATGCTCCCACGTAATATTTTTTCTCGAATGAAGTGACAATCAACTTCAATATGTTTAGTCCTCTCATGAAACACAGGATTTGATGCAATGTGAACTGCTGCTTGATTATCACAGAACAATGGAGTAGAAGCTTCAACTGTTAACCCAAGTTCTTTTAAAAAATGTTGTATCCATGTTAACTCACTAGTGGTATGGGCCATTGCCCTATACTCAGCTTCAGCACTAGATCGAGCTACCACCGTTTGCTTTTTACTTCGCCATGTAACAAGATTTCCTCCTACAAATGTGTAGTAGCATGTAGTAGATCTCTTATCTGAAGGAGAACCAGCCCAGTCGGCATCTGTAAAACCTTCCACCCTAAGATGACCATTTGATTTATATAGTAACCCAAAACCTGGAGCTTGCTTAAGATATCAGATAATCCGAAGAACAACAATCCATTGTGGCATTCTAGGGGCTCCCATGAACTAACTTACAACACCAACTGCATATGAAATATCAAGTTGAGTGATAGTGAGATAAATTAATTTCCCAACAAGGCGACAAAATCTGCCTGGGTCATTAAATAGATCACCCTCATCAGACACAAGTTTTGTATTTGAATCCATAGGAGCATCAACCGGACGACCACCCAAGATACCTGTTTCTTCTAATAAGTCCAACACATATTCTCGTTGGGATAAACTTATACCCTTCTTGGATCTAGCATCTTCAATACCCAAGAAATACCTAAGTTTACCCAAGTCTTTAGTGTGGAATTGATATTGCAGAAACAACTTCAACTTAGCAATGCCTTCAGAATCATCACCTGTGATCACAATATCATCTACATACACCACAAGAAATATGAAGCCAGCTTTAGTGTGCTAGTGAAATACCGAATGGTCGGTCTGACATCTATTAAAACCAAATTTTAATGCTACCTCAGAGAATTTTCCAAACCAAGCCCGTGGAGATTGTTTCAATCCATACAGGGCCTTTTTAAGGCGACAAACACTGTGAAGATACTCTCCCTGAGCAACAAACCCAGGTGGTTGCTCCATATAAACCTCTTCTGCTAAGTCACAATGCAAAAAGGCATTTTTAACGTCTAACTGAAACAGAGGCCAATGTCTATTAGCAGCAAGAGAAATCAAAACACGAATAGAATAAATCTTAGCGACGGGGGCAAACGTCTCATCATAGTCAATACCATAAGTTTGGGTATAACCTTTGGCAACAAGACGTGCTTTTAAACGCTCAACAGGCCCATCTGGAAGATACTTCACAGTATATACCCAGCGACAACCAACAGGTTTGGCACCTGAAGGTAATGGAACAAGATTCCATGTGCCATTCTGATGCAAAGCATCCATTTCATCTTGCATTGCTTTCCTCCAGCCCGAATCAGACAAAGCATCCTGCAGTCTTAGGAACAAATGTAGTAGACAACTGAGATGAAAAACATGAGAAGGATGGCAATAAGGAATTATAAGAGATATAATAAGCAATGAGATAATTAGTGACACACGAGCGAGTACCTTTACGAAGTGCAATAGGCAAGGAATCAGACACAGTGGATTGTGTTGGATCCAAAGACTCTGAAGATGACGGAGGAGGCATGACAGCAGATGGCTTTGGTTTTCGAGTGTACACCTGTAATGGGCAGGCAAAAGAGATCTAGGTTGAAGAGAAAGTGAGGGAAGAGGAACCGCAGGAAGAGGCGACTCAGGATTGGTATCAAGAAGTGAATCAGTATCTGAAAAATATGGGATGGTCTCACAAAAAGTTAAATCCGCGCTAATAAAGTACCGTTAAGAAACAGGACTATAGCAGCGATAACCTTTATGAGAACGAGAGTATCCAAGAAATACACACTTTGTGGCACGTAGGTCTAGTTTATCAAAACCAGAACCAAGATTGTGGACATAACATATTCATCCAAAAACCCGAGTAAGAGAAAGCAAGGGAAAATCAGGAAATAAAATAGAATGTGGAGATTTGCCATCTAATACAGATGACGGCATATGGTTAATAAGATGACAGGCAGTAAGAACAGCATCACCCCAAAACCGTTTAGGTATACGCATATGAAACAAAAGAGCACGGGTTACTTGTAAGAGGTGTCGATTCTTACGTTCTGCAACTCCATTTTGTTGAGGAGTACAAACACATGAATTTTGATGAATAATTCCTTTATCAATAAGATATGTATCAAAGGGGGTTGAAGAATATTCCTTAGCATTATCAGAACGTAGAATACAAATTGGGCATCCAAATTGAGTTTTGATTTCTTTTTGAAATTTTTGAAAAATTAAAAATAACTCAAAACAATCTTTCATTAGAAACAACCAAGTCAGGCGAGAATAATTATCCACAAATGTCCCAAAATAATGAAATTTATTGATTGAAGAATGCTTTATTGGGCCCCATACATCTGAATGAACCAAATGAAAAGGACTAGAGACACGATTATTAACCCTATACTTGAAAGACACGCGATGGTGTTTACTAAGTTGACAAACTTCACATGACAAGAATTTCAAATGACTAAGACTAGGAACTTGACGCTGCAAAACTTGAAGTGATGGGTGACTAAGACGATAGTGCCACTGGAATGGAGACAGAGAAGACTGAAGAGCCACGGGATAAGGTTCCAAATCAAAGTAATATAAGCCACCAGCTTCATGCCCCGTACCAATCTTCTTCTTCGTCTTAAGATCCTGAAACACACAAGAAGTAGGATAAAATGTAATAGAGCACTGGAGAGATTTAGTAAGCTTACTGATAGACATTAAATTAAAGGGAAACTAAGGAACATATAAAACAGACGAGAGAGACAAGGAATCACTAAGTTGAGTTGTCCCCAAACTTGAAACCTTAGTAGATGAACCATTAGCAAGAGTAACACTTTGAGAAGGAGGTACAAAATTAAAATCAGATAGAAGAGAAGAACATCCAGTCATATGATCGGATGCTCCAGTGTCTATAATCCAAGGATTGCGAGTGGAAGACAATAGACGTGTGTGCAGTACATAACTGGGCAAAGGTAGCCGTGGAAGATGAATTAGATGCTTGCTTATAAGACAAAAACTGAGTATACTCATCACGTGGAACAGATACCGTATCTGATTTAGCTACATTATGAGATCCGAAACAACATCATTCGGAGAGGAGAAAACTTGATTTGCATAACTAGACGGTTTGCAATGAACGTCCCAACAAAAATTCACAGTATGATTAGAAAGGCCACAATGAGTACATTTTCGTGATTCCCTGCCATGGCCACGTCCTCCCCGTTAATCACGACCACCACGTGTAGAGCGTCCCCCACGACCTCCACAGTAAGCATTATGTTCACCCTTTGAAACTACCAATGCTAAACGCTCACCACTCTGCCTAGTATTCAAATTTGAGGTGTCACTTGCAAGTGTAGCGCGCTGAAGTCGAGAAAACACATCAGCAAGAGATGGAAGTGTGGGACTGCCCATAATCTGTACACGAAGAGACTCATATGCTGATGACAAGCCAGTAAGAAAACAGACAACATTAAAGTCCTCACGTTGTTGTTGCATACTTCGAACATCAGCAGTAATGGGCTGATACATATTCAGCTCCTCACTGACTCCCATAACTTTGGAATAATACTCTTCTATACTGTGATTACCTTGTTCAAGATTGAAGTACTGCTTACAGAGCTCATAAACACGAGTGATATTACCTATTCCAGAATACAATTGCTGCAATCTGTCCCATATCTCCTTGACAGTATGCAAATGAAGTAAAGTTGAACTGATTTGGGGTTCAATACTGTTCAATACGAATGAGGCAGAAACGACGACGAACAAGCTTCAGATCTAACGACGACAAACGAGGCTTCAGATCTGACGACGATGAACGAGCTGTCTGCGACGATGAACGAGGCAGAGACACAAACACCACAATCGCGATTCCGATCTTATACAAGAACAACACAATTACAGACTCTCACACCCATGAATTCGTGTAGCTCTGATACCATGTTCAAAATCATGAGAGAGAGAGAGAGAGAGAGAGTGCAGACTTTTCTTGTATATTTCACTCTCACCCTAATAAGCCTATGTAGGCTTATATAAAGGATACAAGACAGACTTAATAACACAATGGCCCTACCAACTATATGTAATTACATAATGACCCAACATATATATATATATATATAAACATTCTAACAATAATTACACTTTAAAATCGAAGGATTGGCCAAAGTAACCATTACACAAAGCAACGTACTTGTAACTTCACAATGTGCATGAAACAAGTGGTACAACATTTCTATTTGGAAATTATTGCGGTAATGTGCAATAGAGTTACGAACATCATTACTTATTTTCCCTCACTTCTAGATAGAATTTCCCTTACAAGAAATGTGAACTACATGTATTATAGGCTTTTTAGCATATTAAATAATACACATTAGACTTTTTATTTAAAATAAAAAATAATATTTGGTTACTAAAATGGAGTTGCAGCAAACATATTAAGGCTCTTGGCATCTATGCAGATTCCAATTATCAGAAGAACATCAGGTCAGGACAAATATAACGAAAACATGAAAAACAACTACTGCAATATATCCTTATCTGACCAATACATACGCACATGTTCATACACAGTACACATTCATGAAAACCAATTCAACTACGGAACTGTTGAACTCCAATTTAAATTTACAGATAGCATGCATGGGTTTCAATTAGATAACCTCTTGGACACATAATGCAGACGAATCTATCTTCTTCATACCGTGTCTAGGATACGGAAAGACAGCTTCTTGTGAGGAAAAACAACCTAGAAAAAAATGCCATCATGTGAAATTTTCATCTCTAAAAAACTCAAAAGAAAGGGGGATAATATAAATAATGAAAAGCATAAAATCCCATGCTACACAAGCACTAGGTTTGATAGAACTGATAAACATTGCAGAGCAGAAATATTTACTGGTAAATCCGGAATAGAAATTCTCTCATATATCTTCAACTGCAATGAAGAAACCTTGGCTTTGTCTTCAGTTTCTCTTTCACCAATTTCCTCGGTGTAAAGTAAAATTAATTCTTGGAATGCTGGCTCCTATTTTGGAAGAGACAATTTAACGATCTAGATTGGCTGTTATCACTTAAGATGAGTCCAAAACAAAAGCTGATAATTAAAATACGTTTACCTGATACAGATAAAAGCATATATACAAATAGACATATAAGGAAATAAAAGAAAATGAAGAATACACAAGTGTGCAGACATACATGCCCATTATTGAGAACTAAGTAAAAACAATAATATATTTTGATATCATAAAAGGAAAGAAAAGGACAGTAGAACATAATCTATCATAAGACAAAATATTTATATAATAGAAGTATTATTATACAGGAAATATAATTTTGTTTTTCCTGAGAATTACCTGGAGGATTGATTGAGAGAGAAGAATGGAAATAGAAGTTCTCAACATTTCCCAAAGATCATTTTCACAGAATTTCCTTGTAGCAGGTTCCCATATATCACTCAGCGATATTCTTGATAAGAAAATAGGCCTGTGCAAAGAATTCTTCTATTACTCCGTCATTCATCAACTAATTAACAATCCATTCTAGATTAAATCTAATTTAAAGTATGGGCTCTGCTTGTTTTGACACCAAAACGTTTTAATTAAAAGAAAAGCTGTGAAATGTTTACATAAGAAGCAATGAATTGTCTATATCTTTTCAATGTTTTATGGAAGTCCGATGCTTAAAAACTATGCATATATACAAGCATATGCATATGTAAATACATGTGCACACCTCTAGGATATCTGTGGGTTCATAATCAAAATTGGGACCTTCCCTTCACTTTGTATCAAAGCTTTTTTTGCCACGCACCCTTAGTATCAGAGCAGGTTCCCTTAAGCCTGAGTGTCCAAAAAGTTATTTTTCTTTTTTGAAACAATGAAATCTCATAATCTAGAGGGCTTTACGCTTAAAACTTAATGGAAGAAAACTCCATGCTAAAACAAAGTGTGCGATTGTAAACTCTACACCTCATACAGTACCAAAACTTCTGCACCGATAACTAAAATTGTTTGTAGAAAAGAGAATTCAAAATTTCTTGTTATTCACATTATATTCTGAATTTATGAGTCTAGGTTTTGGTAATTTGATAGTTGTTATTCTAGGCACACGACTAGTGATAGGACATTGTTGAGTCCGCTAGAAGAGTTTTCAGGATAGTACAGTCAACTTTAGGATGATACTGTGTCTAAAGTTTGCAGATGTGGATTTATCAAAGCCCTAGGTAGTTTCCAAATCAAACAATGTTCTCTATATTGATAGATTGAAATGGTTAATTGTTTTAGTAAACTCAACTTGATAAAGCTTGTTTTCAACTACTTAAGGTCAGTAGATGAACCTTATTTCACCAATTCATTTTGTCAAAGGCTACAGCCATAGTCGAACCACATGCTACTATTGTGGACTTTAAGAGAAAATAAAAACAAGAGTAAAGTAGAAGAAGATGAAGAAGAAGAAGAGAAGAAAGAGGAGAGAAAAAGAGAAAAAGATGGGGAAAGAGAGAGAATAAAGAATACTTTCATCCTTCCACCACATTCTATTTATACTAACAAGTTTTAGAAATTACACATAAGCACCCAACATTATATAAGTAATAACAAATAAGCCTCTAACAACACTCCCCCTCAAGCTGGTGCAAAGATATCTATCATGCCCAGCTTGACTAGCATATTTTGCAAGCAAGTCTTGCTCACAACCTTAGTCAAAACATCTGATCATGTGTGTTGACGTATAGAGTACAAATCAGCCCAAGACGAAGCTTTTCCTTGATGAAGTGTCGATCGACTTCAATATGCTTTGTCTTGTCATGTTGAACTGGATTGTGGGCAATGCTAATAACAGCCTTGTTGTCACAACACAACTTCATTGGCTTGCGAAGAGGATAACCCAACTCATCCAACATAAATTGTAACCATAACAACTCACAAACTCCATGTGCCAGGGATCTGAACTTAGCCTCTGCGCTAGATTTAGCTACTACAAACCTGTTTCTTGCTTTGCCAAATTGGGACCTTCCCTTTACTTCGTATCAAAGATTCTTTTGCCATGTACCCTTAGTATCAGAGCAGGTTCCCTTAAGCCTGAGTGTCGAAAAAGTCATTTTTCTTTTTTGAAACAATGAAGTCTCATAATCTAGAGGGCTTTACGCTTAAACCTTAATGGAAGTAAATTCCATGCTAAAATAGTGTGCGATTGTAAACTCTACACCTTATACGGTACCAAACTTCTGGACCGATAACTAAAATTGGTTGTAGAAAAGAGCATTCAAAATGTCCTGTTATTCGCATTATATTCTGAATTTATGAGTCTAGATTTTGGTACTTCGATAGTTGTTGTTCTAGGCACACGACTAGTGCTAGGACATTGTTGAGTCCGCTAGAAGATTTTTCAGGATAGTACAGTCAACTTTAGGATAATATTGTGTCTAAAGTCTGCAGATGTGGATTTATCAAAGCCCTAGGTAATTTCCAAATCAAACAATGTTCTCTATATCGATAGATCGAAATGCTAAATTGTTTTAGTAAACTCAACTTGATAAAGCTCGTTTTCAACTACTTAAGGTCAGTAGATGAACCTTATTTTGCCAATTCCTTTTGTCAAAGGCCACAACCATAGTCCAACCACATGCTACTATTGTGGACTTTAAGAGACAATAAAACAAGAGTAAAGTAGAAGAAGATGAAGAGAAGAAAGAGGAGGAGACAAAAAGAGAAAGAGATGGGGAAAGAGAGAGAGAAAATAAAAGAATACTTTCATCCTTCCACCACATTCTATTTATTCTAACAAGATTCAGAAATTACACATAAGCACCCAACATTATATAAGTAATAACAAATAAGCCTCTAACAACACTGCCCCTCAAGCTGGTGCAAAGATATCTATCATGCCCAGCTTGACTAACATATTTTACAAGCAAGTCTTGCTCACGGCCTTAGTCAAAACATCTGATCATGTGTGTTGACGTATAGAGTACAAATCAGCCCAAGACGAAGCTTTTCCTTGATGTAGTGTCAATCGACTTCAATATGCTTTGTCTTGTCATGTTAAACTGGATTGTGGGCAATGCTAATAACAGCCTTATTGTCACAATACAACTTCATTGACTTGCGAACAAGATAACCCAACTCATCCAACATAGTTCGTAGCCATAACAACTCACAAACTTCATGTGCTAGGGATTTGAACTTAGCCTCTACGCTAGATTTAGCTACTACAAACCTATTTCTTGCTTTGCCATGAAATAAGATTACCTCCAACAAATGCGCAATATCCTGAAGTAGATTATCGATTTGTCACAGACCCTACCCAATTAGCATCCGTATAGGCTTCAATACGCAAGTGGCCATGATAGCCAAACAATATCCCCTTACTAGGTGAACCCTTGAGGTAGCAGAGAACACGATGAGCTGCCTCAAGATGAGGTGTACTTAGAGCATGCACAAATTGACTAATCACATTAACAACATAAGCAATATCCAGGTGCATGAGAGGTAAATCAATTTCCCATCCAATCGTTGGAATTTTCCCACAACATCTAATGGGTCGCCATCCACATCATTAAGCCTATGGTTGTACTCAATGGGAATATGAGCAAGTCTAACTCCAAACCTGCTGGCTTCAGCCAACAAATTTAATACATACTTCTGTTGATAAATGAACACCCCTTTCTTGAATCTGCACACCTCGATGCCAAGAAAGTATCTCTCAACCTCAAGCTCTGTCCCCAAGAATGACTTCATTTGATGAATCTCTTCTGGATCGTTTCCAGTGATAACATCAACACATACAATAAGGGCAGTGGAGCAACCCTGGTGCTTCTCAAACGAAGCATGAAATGACTGCTTTAACCCACACAAGGCTTTATTTAGCTTACACACTAAATTTTGACCATTGACAAGCTTAAACCCTGGTGGCATAGTCATATACACCTCTTCCTCAAAGTCACCATTAAGGAAAACATTCTTTATCTTCAGCTGATGTAAAAGCCAATTCAAATTAGCTGCCAAAGAAAGAAGGACAAGTATAGAGTTCATCTTGGCAACTGGAGCATATATTTCCAGATAATGAATCCCATGGGTCTAAGTGATGCCCTTTGCAACTAACTACCAGGCTTTATATCTCTAATTGTTTCGTTTGCATGATACTTTATTCTGTAGACCCATTGTATCCTACTGGTTTCTTACCCCTAGGCAATGAAACAATATCCCAAGTACCATTCTTCTCAAGAGGCTTCATTTCCTCAAACATGGCTCCCTTCTATAGAGTTGGACTCAGAGCATCTGAAACACTAGAACAGAAACAAACGAGATAGACAAAGTGAAAGCGCAATATGGTGGAGATAAGGCTTTATAGAATAAAACTGAGACATGGGATGTTTTGTACAACTACGAACACCTTTACAATAGGCAATAGGGACATCAAGATCAACATGAATGCTATTAGGAAAAGAATCAGGAGTATCACTGTTAAACTGAGGGATTACCTGGATCGAGGGAGACTTGTTGGTCTTAGGGTGAGTCAATGACTTGTTTTGTCCTCCTAGTATAGACAATTGGCTGCTTTCCCCGCTACAAATCATTAGTGCTAGGAGGAGTAGACATAGGCAACTCAGTGAGAAGCTCCCCCTGAATGGGAACATGCCTTGGCCTAGCATTTGCATGTGCAAGAGCTGGAGTAGGGCGACAGTGTAGATTCCAGCATGTTTCCCTAGTGTGGCATGTACACCCACAGTAATCACAAATCAACTTGCTCTACTTCCCTCCTTTTGGAGGGTTGGGTTTGTTTCATTGTTGTGTGGCAAGAGCAAACCTTTCTGACAATGTTACTTCTGGCTTAGGCTTAGTGTATACAGGTGCACACATAGCCGTCATTCTACTCTCCTTAGCCTGGATATACGAAAACACATCCTAACAAAAGTAGGGGTTGGAAACCTGCCCAACACTTGTACCCTAGCATGCTCGTATTTCGGATGCAGGCCACCTAAGAACTCATTGTCACGCCCCGAATCCATAGAACCCGCTTCATGATGGAAAGGAAAATAATCCGTACTCTTACTTAAGTCCCAAATGCAGAAGCTAATATAAAATAGTTGACCAATGAAGCCAACACTGATACAACCTCAATAAGGGTACAACCGTCTCAAATGTGTCAAACCTGAATCAATGAATAGTCGGAGAGTTGACCCATGTGGGCCCACAGATAGCACCAACTAGCAACCCCAAGGCAGGTCTCCATTCTTGAAATTGTTGTCAACGGGGTAAGCAAGTATGCCCAGTAGATGATGTACAACCTACCCTTTCTAAGGCCTTGCAAGTCATGCAGCACATAAGCAAACATACACATACACATAGCATTCCTAAGGGAGCATGGTTTCAAACAATGTTTGCGTCCAACGTTCACATACAAGTCTCGTTGAAATGATCCTACGGCTGCATACTTTCAAATAATGTTCTTTCTCCAACATTCACAAAACAAGTATCAACAAG